AGGGTAATTGTTAAAGGACTAAATGATCTTTTACAGGCAGATCTAGTAGAAATGCAACCATATTCTAAATTTAACAGGGGTTATAGATATATTTTATTTGTTATAAATGTGTTTTCAAAATATGTTTGGGCAGAACCTGTAAAAACAAAATCTGGTAAGGATGTTGCCACAGCAATGAAAACCATATTACTTACTTTAAAAACCAACCCACAAAATTTGCAAACGGATAGGGGTACAGAATTTTTCAACCAACATTTCCAAAGACGATGGAACGATTTAAAATTAATCATTATAGTACTTTTTCCAATTTAAAAGCAAGTGTAGTTGAAAGAGTAAACCGAACATTAAAAACCAGAATGTGGAAAATGTTTAGTTTGCAAGGAAATTATAGATATTAATATTTTACAAGATATCGTTAAGGATTACAACAACACCAAACATTCAACAATTGGAATGAAACCAAACCAAGTAAATAAACAAAATGAAAAGAAGATTTTAAGATCAATCTTTACTCATGCTAAAACAGTAGATTCAAAACTTGTTAAATTTAAAGTTGGAGATTATGTGCGTATAAGCAAGTATCGCGAGGCGTTTTCCAAAGATTACACTCCAAATTAGTCAAATGAAATATTTAGAATTAAAAAAGTAAAGATGACAAATCCCAGAACATATACAATTGAAGATAAAAGAAATGAGGAAATTCAGGGTGGATTTTATGAACAGGAGTTACAGAAAGCAAAACACTCTGATGTATACCTCGTTGAAAAAATTCTAAGAAGAAAAGGAAACAAAGTTTATGTAAAATGGTTAGGATTAGATAAAAAGTTTAATACATGGATTAATAAAAATGATGTTGTATAGTTGTTTTATGTAACTTAAAATAAAATAAAGCACTAATTAATATAATATAGTTTTATTTAATATTTGGTTAAATACAAGTATTAGCAAATCGTGTTAAATACATTTTAGTTCTGTGTTCTTTGCTTAGTATTGGATCAAGAATAATCTTACAATTATTAATTCGTTTTTCAAAACGAAGTCTATTTAAATAATAAGTTCTAAATTCACTTTTTCGTGCTTGTTTATAAGCAAAATTCCACTGCACTAACACATAAAGTTTATTTTTCTCTTCCTGAAAAGTCACCGATTTCTTCATAATATTTTCTTTTGAGTTCATTCCTCTTCAACCTTTTTCCCAATTCCTCCGGGTACAGTATCAGGAACTCCAACATGGTTGACACATTTTCACTGTTGGGATTTTGATTGGGTTGCAAAATGCGATAAATATTATGAATAGGATCACCTTCCTGAATTGAAATGCTGGTTTGGAATACTTTAAAGTAAAGTGAAAATTCTTGTTTCTTTATAATAGAAATCCTGTAATCCACAACTTCCTTTAATCGCCAAAATGTTTCTATAGACTCGTATCCTAAATATATATATCTTGAATATTATTCTTTAATTTTTATAACAGGAAGACTGTTGACTTTCTCAAAATATAATTTAAAGTTGTCTATATTCAACATGGGTTCGTTAATTTGCTGGGGAAAGCAGAAGTAATTTTCAATAACTCCTCGATGATTGCAAAAACTGTTCCAATTTTCTTCACTTAGAGTTATAGAAAAACCATTTTTTCCACCGATTATAATTTTCGGTGAAAAATCTTGATTGCTAATACCAACAATAACAAATTTTGATGAAGATTTATTCAAAAAGAAAATTTTTGAATTTAAAAGATTTTCAAAGTCTTTAGAAGACATGGTGAACGAACTAAAAATTATTAAGTTCTTCTCTTACTTTAATATTCGAACCCCTACCAATTCATACCCCCACCTTTTCATATCGTCAACTCATGCGCATTGCTTATTGTCTATTCAAAACAATATTTTAAATGAAATTGATTATTGAAAGTGTAAATTTCCTGTTTGAAATTTATAATTAAAAAAGATAATTAAAATTGTAATATACAAAAATATAGTAAAAGTTAAAAAGAGATTAACGATATTAAAAATGTTATATCCATTATTTTTTTCATTAATAAATTTAGTATAGTTGAATGATTCATTTTGAAAATGAATATTTTAATTCAAATCTTTCAATCCAATTAGTATCAAAAATGGTTTGGTTTGAATAATGATTTAAAAAACCTATTAACATTTTCTCCTTTGTTGATGGGATATATAAAACTAAGCGTATTATTATTGATTAAACCAACTTTCATAAACTGACAATTTTTATCAAGTGTAATGTTTGTTTCATTCGAAAAACATATTTCACATCGGGTTACAGTGGGGGGATAATGAACATAAATAACATTTTGAAATATGAAATAAAGGAGAATAAAATGGGTTTGATGAGCCATTGAAAGAATGTATTTATCTAGAATTTACTTCCATTCAAGATGATTACCAAATGATATTTGACAATATCTTTTCTATAGATGAATATAAATACTTATTAGCATAAGAAATATATGTTGAAAAAAAGATGTAAATTAATAAATAATAATATCATCAAAATTATACGTTCCAGTGAATTATTAGATTTTTTGAATGTTTTGTTTCTTATTTTTTTTGTTTTGGCTTAACCATAGACATTCATTTAAATTACATAATGGAGAAATTTTGTGATGCTTTTCTATAGGACAGTCATCATAGTTCCATTCATAAATTTCAGTTCCACAATAGTAACATTTGCATACGTCACTATATGAAATATAATAAAAGCTTGCTTCTGCTAATACCTCAGGTTCCAATTTTCCATTCAAGTTTTTAAAAGTAGAAAGTCGGTTTTCATAGGTTTTATAAGTAACATCATCAATATCTTTATCAAACCTTTCCAAACACATCTTAAGAAGGGTTAACAGAAATGAAATATTGCCAAAACATGTATTTACAAGTAGGTATATTTTTCATTAAAATGCATTATCCATACAAAAGTATATTTTTAATTAAAATAAAAACTTATCTACCATATAAAATAATTATATTAGTCACTACATTCTAAATAGGTTATTACCTTTAACATGTAATTAATTTGTAATTATGTAAAACTAAAATACATAAAATATAAATTGTTCCTATATATAATTAATTATATATTGATAACTCTATAACTAATATGTATAAATTATGATAAGTTTAAAACATTCTGAAGGGAATAATAAATTAATATTAATAAATATATTTGTTTTAACTCATTAATTTAATTTATTAAATTAATGAGTTAAAACATTTAGAAGAGGAATGAAAAATACAATCACAGTGAATCATATTAAATGTTTAAATTAAAGAAATAATATTAAATTAAATATTATTTAAAAATATGTTGAGGTCTGCATGATCAGCATTCCACTGATAAAATGAAATATCATGATGACCCCAAGCAAGTGTTTTATAGTCATATGGTATTTGACATCTTTTATCGTCCTCGGAATTCAATGCAATTTTATGTATTAATTCGGTAAAAATTGTATGTAGTCGAGAACGAAACACATACATAGAGCAAAAAATTTTAGAATTATTTTCCACAACATCTTTGTAGTGGATAAAGTCTAACTGATTTTTAATAGCATGTTTTTTTATACATTTCGCTTTCTTTAATAAACCATTTTCGGTTTTTACACAGTAAGCTTTTGCTCCGGTACCATAGAAAGCTACAATCGGTTCACCAGCATATTCATCCTTAAATTTGCCAACCACTGATTGTGTTATTGGCATATTATGCATATTATTAGGTACATAATTGGAAGTGTCAAATTTATGAATATTTCTATTCATATCATGGTAAACATTTTCTGTTGTCACTTCCAGAATAAAAGAATCTGTATCAGTATACAAAAGAGACACATTATCTTTATACAAAGGTTTTAAAAAATTATAAAAAAAATCGTACATGACAGTTTTTGAAATATCTAGTATGGAAAATCCAACATATATTGGTTTATTATAAGTAACTAGTATTTTTTTCATTTGAATAGCGACTAAGTTTTATGAGAAAATTGTTAAGTCCTTGAAATATGGCTTTGCTATTAAATTTTCAGCTCCATCTTTTCTTTTATTTTTTTCCCATTCGGTAACAAGTCTTACATCGACTCTTCTATCCACATTTTCCATTGTTTTTCCATATATACTATTATTTGCTAATTTATACGTGGGCGATCAAATTCATTTTTAGACTCATTACGTAACTTTGTGTTTAAATCTATAAATTTTTTCAACCAAGCAGATTGAGAAAAATCCCAAACTTTATGAGCTCTTTCATATTCCTCATCAGTAATATGTTCATCTGTTAAACTTTTAAAAAACTGATCTTTTTTAGGTAAAGCAGTTTCCTCTAATTTTTCAAAACTATCGATGTAATTATAAGGAAACACACCTTTTTGACGAATAAGTTTAAAATGTTCCTCATCTTCGAAAATCTTTTTTATTTCTTTACATTGTTCATCTTTCAAAGTATCTGCCAAATTAGATAGAGAAAATGATAAGAATTGAAATGAGTCGATAAATCTCAATGATAAATTTCTTTTTTTTTATTTTTTGTATGTTTATCAAAATAATTATCTACGAGAATGTGTTTTTCAAAAGAAATATATTTCTCTTTATTTTGTGGAATTACTGATAGGTGTTCTTTATTTGAACACATATTCTTTAAAAATAGGTGGCTGCCGTAATTACGTAAGTTGTGCATTATAACTGGAATAAAATTAGGAATTTTATAGTTTATATTACACAAAGAATGAGCTGGTCCTCTATAGTTGCCCGTAATGTGACAATGATCGGCAACTTTATCCCCTAAAAGTGGCTTATCACAAATATGACAGTTTTTAGCATTGTTATGTGTAGTTTGTTCTAATTCTGTTAGAGTATTCATTTTCTTAGGAGTCTTTAAAAATGTGTGATATAAATTTAACGCATCTTGTTCTAGAGAATTTATAAAAACTTTTTCGCTATCCAAACCTCTATATTTTTAAACTTAGAATATGCATCATCAAATGAACATTTGATATAATATGCAAAAGAGTATGGAATATGTTCAAATTTTTTTACAGTATATGAACTATTTGGATCTTCTACATTTTCATTATTATTTAAAGGTTTTAAAATACATTCAAAGTCTGCATAAATCACAAAAGGAACTTCCATTTGTTTTTGATAATTTATAAATTTTAATATATTTTCATATGCTACATTTCCACATTTATCTTTAAGTAGTTCTTTAGAAGGTAAATTAATTTTAACATGATCACAATCATAACTATTATGGTATTGTAATTTTTGTTCTGTATCAAAATATTGCAAACATCCTTCACATAAATATTTTCTACCATTGTGTTTACTAAGTTGTTTAGAAATTAATTTGAAAGATCGGAAATGTAGCAATAATGAAGATTTCCATCATCATCGTTTATCAATAATAAATTAACATGAATATTTTTTTTAGCATTTGTGAAATGTAGAGGACCAATTACTTCATATTCTTCATTATTAGAAATTTTATTATAATATTTTTCTAAACCGTATACATTGATAGAAATATTGTTTTGATTTTCAAATTTCTTGATGTCTTTTAAAGATATTGGAAAGTTAATACCTGCAGTGTTCAAAACCGTTGAATAATGAGGGTATGATGATGTAACAAAGTCAACACCTGTTGGAGTATGAAGAGCTGCAACTATGGACCATGCGAAGCAGTAGTCATCGTTATTTCTTATGTTAACTACAGCTTGACGTCGTACTATTTCAGGAGGTAGTTCAATAAATGATGATGCTCTCAAAGGATTGAATTTATTGATGTTAATTTCCAAATGAATAAAATTAAGTAAGATCCATCCTGAAACCAGAAATAAAAATTAATTACATATATATTTTAGATTAAAGTTAAACACTTACCGGAATCTTTTTCTGCAAACTCATCTGCCTTATCGCCAATAACTGTTACAAATTCTTCTATCAAATCCTTTGTTGCACTGCTATTACAAATTACTTTAAATGGAGTGTTGAATGATTTTACATCATGATTATCAGTACTTGGATTATAATAATAGCCAAAAAGCTCCATATTAATTTTAAGGCATGTGTGTTTTCTTAATTGATCCTCAAATATACGAAGAATCTTTTGTTCCAATTTTATAAAGTAATTTTTAACATTTAAGATCATCTCCTCCATAGATAATCTATATGTTATTATTCGTTCTTTGAATGCAGATTTAATAATTTGTACTCCTGATTGTTCAAATATTTTAGAATTATTTTTATGTGTTTGATCGCAGATGACCAAACCATAAATTTTGTGATATTGACTCTTTGCATTCTTCACAATATTTCTCTATAAAGACAATTATTTTGTTAATTTCAAAAGGTTATAACATAAAATGAAAAAATCTTACTTTTTTCTTCAGGTGTAGACTTTGTCAACCATCTGTTTAGAAAGGAAGATTTGTTGCAGGCACTCTTTAAATGGCGAGATAGGTTGTCTTTACGAGTAAAGGTTTTTTTACAGGATGGACAAATAAACATCTTTCAATTTTATTCTGTAAAATAATTTTATGGTTTTATTATTAAATTTTATTCTGTTATATGCAAGGTTAAGTTTGGAAAAAAGAATGTATAAATATAATTTAATTAAAAAAATAAATGAAAAAAAAATTTAAATATTTAATTAAAAGAATCCACTAACTTATCGAAAGATTTTTTTAAATATTGTAGTTCTGCATTATTTTCACTTGTTATGTTTGTTTGTTTAAGAAATTGCTCCAGAGCGAAGCTAAGAGTTTTTAATTTTGAAAAGGGTTTTAAATACTTTTTCAAAGTTTTCTTCTTTTTGTTGATAATAAAGGATGGTTTACTATTTTCGATTTTATTCTTAAACGTTTCTCCTTTTTCATCGGAACTAAACTCTATTTTTTGAGAGTGTGTCGGTGAAAAAGGAGAAATGTTTTGACAGGAACTAGTCTGACCCTCATTTTTGGAGTCATCAATACATTCAATTAAATCTAGTTCATCATCAAAATTATTAATTTCTTCATGTCCATCACTATTAACAGAATTATTACATTTACTATTCTGTATTAACGTCTCCTCAAATTTTGAAATGGAAATAGAGTCATTCGTAAGTTCCTCTAAAAATATTTCGTTAAAATCAATGTCTCTATTTTCAACATCTGTTAAAAATTTGTTTAAATCAGCAAAGTTTTCCATTTCAAACGGTGTAAAAAGGTTGTGTGTATTTATAATGTCACTATTATCAATTTCATTCAAGAAATTATCTAATTCTTGAATGAAATTAATAACTGGTGTAGTGATGTTAGGTGTAGTCACGTTATTAGTTTGAGTATTAATCAAGTCTGAATTAAAAATAAAATGAGGGTCAGAAAAATTGTTCATCGAAATTATTTGCAAAATATTAATTTTTTCAGGATTCATTTAAAAAAATATTTACCTAATATGTCACAACACAAAATAAAGTCACAACACAAAATAAAGGGAAAATCTAAAAACCGAAACCATAAAACTTATTTCAAGAACTTCTTGAAAGTACAGTCTGTTGTAACCTGTGGTTGTAACTGCAGACGGTTTTATACCTGTGTTTTATACTTGCTCCCTACTTTATTAACCTTCTACTGGTTGTACTGGTTGCATTCCTATCCAACCAGTTCTTTCTCATCATAGGTCATCAATCCTATTTTTTTTTTTTTTACAAAACACCAAAACACCATTTTCCTTGAAAGTTCATTGACCTTTGGAGTGGAAAAACTGGTTCTCAAAGTTAATATTTTTCAAAGGTTCCCTTTCATTTTCTTATAAATGAATAAGTTTGCTGGAATATATCGAGGATAAAACTTGAGTACGTGTGGTACAAAGGTATAGAGAGACGACACAGGTATGATTTTGTGTATACTATTTTTTCTATTTATTTATTATTTTGTTTTGTGTTTGCAATTTTGTAGAAATAGATCTATTCCAAAGACTCTATGAATTCTTCTGGAATCGACAGCATCCAGAAGAAACGGTGGAAAGAAGAATGAATATTATGGAGCAGCGGGATATTAATAATGCAGAAGGATTGACTCCTGAGGATGTTGAAAACGACTCCGGATGTGAAGACAATGATATATCTGATTCCCATATATCGGTTAGGGTAAACTATATTGGTATATCGGAATATCAACAAGCTTTAGAATCCGGAGTGTTTTGTGTGTTTCAACATTATGTGAGAGTGACGCTGAACACAGTTGTTAGTGGTACTGTTCGAGAAGTACGATTATGTGATGAGTGCTAGGTGTCACCCCCCTGGTAGCACCAGGGGGGTGACAGTAAACCGGAAAATTGGAAACAGTTCTGGCGCGGTCCTACCCAGGCAGAAAGCATGGCCTTCTAGACTGTCCTAGACAAAAATCTGAATATTTCTATATGATTCCTGTCAATTTCTGCTACGGAACATTTTTATGCACGTCGGCGTCCTGTTCTTTTGTCTTTTGTCTGTGTGTCAGCGTCAGCCCCCGAGGCCTCTGGCAAGGTCGGGCGCCATTTTAATTTTGCCGTTTAGATTTGATTGGAAGTTTTGTTTCTGATATTTCGGCTGAAATTTATAAAACAAAAGATGTTTTTTGATATAAAGTTCCTTGTTAACACTTTAATAAAGTATATATGATATTAATTACATGAAGAAAATGATGAAATCGACTTTCGGCGTGTAGGTATGGGCCATATTATAGGTAAAAATAGGTAATATATTAACTGTTTTTATATTTTTTTAACTTTAAACTTAGGATCTTGGGATATTCTTTCAAGATTTTCCGTATCTCTACTTTAAGACTGATCAGTGATTTTGAGCAATTGAGAAAGCAAGTTATACAAGGTAAATTATGATTATTGAACTATTAATAGCCTACGTTAAATTTCTAAGATGATCAGAAATGCGTAATTACATATCACATATAGGTACCTATTATGTATTTTCATAGCAATAATGCTATAAATCTATGTATGTAGATTATTTTAAAAATACAAATGAGGTAGATGTATATCATATTTTATTCATTTTATTTTCATTCAAGTCCTGTTTGATTTAATTCACAAAAGTCTTATGTAGGTACCTATATTTATATTTTTACATATTTTTTTTGATTCCAGGTTTTGTGTGGGTTCAGTTGCCTTTTTCTGCTGGTTACTATTTATCCGTGACTGTGAAAGCATTATTTATCTTCAAGTTTCTGAGTCAATGCACTGTTACTTTACTAATTCGCTTTAACACAGCATCTCTGATATTTAAATATTTAATATTGTTAGTAGTTTATTGGTTTATAGCTCTTTAATTGTGTTGATTTGCATATTTACATTGTTCTAAATTCCAAATAAATATTTTGAGTAATTTTGTTTATTATTTACTACTAGAAAGAGTAAAAGTATATTAACCCTCATTTAAACCTCCCGAGCAGCCCGCCATTAAAAACCGGAAACGGAAATAAATTTCATAAAGTGAAATTGTCATCTCTATGTCGTCATAGTCTGTCAAAATGTCTAACCGCCATATCTGAAAATTAGTTACCCAGGCAGCCACGCTGTTTCCATAATTTAACATTGACTTGACACTTCTTCTTGTATTTATTATTTTATGGGTGCTACTATCGACATCAGACGGGAGTTCCGTCATATACATTACACACATACATTACAGTTATATGTATATGGGTTCCGTACGGTTCCCATCAGCATGTGTCCTGCCACTTCACCACAAAACTATTACCAGACAATGTAAACAATATGACAATTGGTGGTAAATGTGGTGTGTGTAACAGTAATTTATATATTATAATGCATCCTATATGTTGCTATATTTGCAATGGGAAGAATTTTTCAAAGGAAATATAGTAATATCTTAGATTAACAATAGTAATATATAGGATTGTAACCAAAGACATTATAAAGATAGACCGAACATCTCATTCATAAATACTCGTTGGTAGTGTATCAAACATTCCAATGTGTCAAACAAGGACAGAAGAGACAGAGAAGTCTAAAATTTCCGACCCCGGCAACTAGGCGCATTTGGGATTGTTCTAATGGCCAGTGGCGTATCGTTTTTTGGAACGAATTTGAGTAGTAAAGTAAAGTAAAGTAATTAGTAAATTTTTACTCCATATTAATATACTACATTAACGCTTTTCGTCCCAGGTTTTTGTTATAAGGTCTAATATAATAATACATTGTATCCCACATACTTATGTTGAAACGTTGGCCAGTTTTCGAAAATCCTCCAACGTCGATTTTCAATTTAAACTCAGTTACTTCTATATAAACTTTCAGTTACTTTTGAATATTTACAGGGTGACTCAGGCTTCAGGGAAACAGTTCTATATTAGGTTTGTGGTTGGTAACTTTTCTTTCAATTTTTTTCAGATATGGGCATTTAGGCACATTTTAGACATTTTTGTAAACATGGGTGGCCGAACATATTTTCAAACCAAGTTGTAGATTTGCCAAATTTCCATGCCAGAAATACCCTAGTGTTGCCCACTTGTCCTTTTTGAAAAGGACAGTCCTTTTGGAATAATTTATCCTTTTGACTTTTTGACTTAAAAGTCATTTTTATTACGTATTTTCCCTGAGAAAAATTACCTACAGCAAACAGAAATATTCTTTTCGCCCAAATTTAATTAGAGATGTTATAAAACTTAACTTATAAATAAATTTTTTCTTGCTTGTTTAGAATAGGCAACATTACATTTAGAACTTCCGTTTAATCAAATGATAGTTTAGGTTTAGTTTTACCTTTTTTTATCTTAAAAGAACTTTTCAAATTAGTACCTAATTAGTAACTTTCTAAGGAAGATATTTGTACGGTGGTAAAAAACTGTCTAAACAATGCCGAGAAGGGGCGAATATAATAAAAAGCAATAAAATGTAAGGTCGGGTAAACACCTTTGTTTATTGTGAGCAAAATTCCTTTTAGAATATCGTATATAATGACCAAAATAGTACGCAATTTTAAGAAAAAATGTCACTTTCTGGCTTATAATAAAGTTTCAAATGTAACGTTTATATTCAATTTTTTTATGATCTACAACAGTTAGGTAGTAGTGAGACAGAATTACTGTTCAAATTACAAAGGCACTACGTTCTTGTTTAATAGATCAAAATTCAACAAAACAATTAGAAGTGTAATTTAATTATTGAGAGAGGCTCCTTGTGGAACTATGTACCGACCAAGCACTTGGCGGAAACAATACTACCTGTGAAAAAGACAAATTCGGGTAATTTGAGCTTATTTGTCCACACATTTGGCACTGTCGTACCATATTGAAAATTCGCAGATTCAAAAGTGCATTAAGCAAAAAGCAAAAACTACTGAAAAACACTGCAAAAGTTCACTTCGGACTTGATTCCGACTCAAACACACCATAAGCTAAACGTAGTACGCTATAACGGACCATAGGCCGTCGCGAGGGAGTGGTGGGACGGACGGCTCTTTCATTCTATGGAAGACTAGCAGCGACGTTGCCAGCAGTTCTAGACGAACAGCATTAAACAGTAAACATGTCTTTTAATAGTAACGCATATATCCTCTGGTTAATAACCATATTATTACGCGTAGCACAAAAATAAACTATTAATTTAATTAAGAAATTGAAATTTATTGATATCAGGTGAAGGTTTTAAAGTCACCTTTTCTGCAAATCAAACAAAGTGAATGAAGCGCAAATTTGATATGTGGCAACGTCGCCTTCTCTATCTCAGTTGATTTTTACAGTACGTAGTCAACCTCCGAATGTTTGATCGGGTTAAAATGCATAATGTGATATCTGTTCTTCCTAAATCTATGATTGTAACCGACCATCCCTACAATATCGAAACTGGCGATAGTGCCCATCCCTAACGGATGACAGAAGAGAATTTGACATAAGATATACGATTTTTCCAGAGAAATAGAAGGCCTAAAAACGGCGTATCGGCGTAACGGCGTAATGACCTTGAATCGATTTCCAGTAATTCTATTGGCTGAAATTTTTGACAGATGAATTTGACAGATAAAACTTCTGACAGATGAATGTTTCAGTCAATAAATTACTGAGAGAAATATTCAGGCTCATTACATACACTCACATAATTACAAATAATAATGGCTGGCTACCCAGGGGGTGACAGTAAACCCAGAAAGTGGAAACAGTTCTGGCGCGGTCTACAGGCAGAAAGCATGGCCTTCTAGACTGTCCTAGACAAAAATCTGAATATTTCTATATGATTTCTGTCAATTTCTGCTACGGAACATTTTTATGCACGTCGGCGTCCTGTTCTTTTGTCTTTTATCTGTGTGTCAGCGTCAGCTCCCAGGAGCCTCTAGCAAGGTCGGGCACCATTTTAATTTTTGCCGTTTAGATTTGATTGGAAGTTTGTTTCTGATATTTCGGCTAGTATAAGTACAAAAGATGTTTTTTGGTATAAAGTTCCTTGTTAACACTTTAATAAAGTATATATGATATTAATTACATGAAGAAAATTATGAAATCGACGTTTCTGCGTGTAGTAGGTATGGAGCCATATTA